AATGACTACAGTATCAGGATTAGCAAAGGGAGAATCACCATTAAGAAAATCATGAGGTTTGGAGACTCTAGGAGCACATGAGTAATAAGAACCAGAACTGAAGTACTCACAAGTTCTCAATTGTCCTTGTATTAAGAATCTTACTAAGCCAATAAACAATATCAAAAACACGGCAATACAGCAGGAAAGTAAGGGGTAAAACAGCATGTCTAGTCCTAATACTGGCATCTCTTACATTTCCTGGTACAGACCCTGAGAAGTCAATCATTATTATCATTATTATCATCATTGTCATCATCATTACCACTTTTCAGAGTAACAGCCGTGTTAGTCTGTATTCGCAAAAAGAAAAGGAGTACTTGTAGCACCTTAGAGACTAACCAATTTATTTGAGCATGAGCTTTCGTGAGCTACAGCTCACTTCATCAGATGTATACCATGGAAACTGCAGCAGACTTTATATACACACAGAGATCATGAAACAATACCTCCTCCCACCCCACTGTCCTGCTGGTAATAGCTTATCTAAAGTGATCATCAGGTGGGCCATTTCCAGCACAAATCCAGGTTTTCTCACCCTCCACCCCCACACAAATTCACTCTCCTGCTGGTGCTAGCCCATCCAAAGTGACAACTCTTTACATAATCAAGTCGGGCTATTTCCTGCATAAATCCAGGTTTTCTCACATCCCCCCCAACCCATACACACACAAACTCATTCTCCTGCTGGTAATAGCTCATCTAAACTGACCACTCTCCAAGTTTAAATCCAAGTTAAACCAGAACATCTGGGGGGGGGGGGGGGGTAGGAAAAAACAAGAGGAAACAGGCTACCTTGCATAATGACTTAGCCACTCCCAGTCTCTATTTAAGCCTAAATTAATAGTATCCAATTTGCAAATGAATTCCAATTCAGCAGTTTCTCGCTGGAGTCTGGATTTGAAGTTTTTTTGTTTTAAGATAGCGACCTTCATGTCTGTGATTGCGTGACCAGAGAGATTGAAGTGTTCTCCGACTGGTTTATGAATGTTATAATTCTTGACATCTGATTTGTGTCCATTTATTCTTTTACGTAGAGACTGTCCAGTTTGACCAATGTACATGGCAGAGGGGCATTGCTGGCACATGATGGCATATATCACATTGGTGGATGTGCAGGTGAACGAGCCTCTGATAGTGTGGCTGATGTTATTAGGCCCTGTGATGGTGTCCCCTGAATAGATATGTGGGCACAATTGGCAACGGGCTTTGTTGCAAGGATAAGTTCCTGGGTTAGTGGTTCTGTTGTGTGGTATGTGGTTGTTGGTGAGTATTTGCTTCAGGTTGCGGGGCTGTCTGTAGGCAAGGACTGGCCTGTCTCCCAAGACTTGTGAGAGTGTTGGGTCATCCTTTAGGATAGGTTGTAGATCCTTAATAATGCGTTGGAGGGGTTTTAGTTGGGGGCTGAAGGTGACCGCTAGTAGCGTTCTGTTATTTTCTTTGTTAGGCCTGTCCTGTAGTAGGTAACTTCTGGGAACTCTTCTGGCTCTATCAATCTGTTTCTTTACTTCTGCAGGTGGGTATTGTAGTTGTAAGAAAGCTTGACAGAGATCTTGTAGGTGTTTGTCTCTGTCTGAGGGGTTGGAGCAAATGCGGTTGTATCGCAGAGCTTGGCTGTAGACGATGGATCGTATGGTGTGGTCAGGGTGAAAGCTGGAGGCATGCAGGTAGGAATAGCGGTCAGTAGGTTTCCGGTATAGGGTGGTGTTTATGTGGCCATTGTTTATTAGCACTGTAGTGTCCAGGAAGTGGATCTCTTGTGTGGACTGGACCAGGCTGAGGTTGGTGGTGGGATGGAAATTGTTGAAATCATGGTGGAATTCCTCAAGGGCTTCTTTTCCATGGGTCCAGATGATGAAGATGTCATCAATATAGCGCAAGTAGAGTAGGGGCTTTAGGGGACGAGAGCTGAGGAAGCGTTGTTCTAAATCAGCCATAAAAATGTTGGCATACTGTGGGGCCATGCGGGTACCCATAGCAGTGCCGCTGATCTGAAGGTATACATTGTCCCCAAATGTGAAATAGTTATGGGTAAGGACCAGTAGTTGTCATCCTGGCGTCTCTTTCCCTCAAGGCACACAGTCCAGGATACAGCCTTTAAAGTGTGTTACCCTAATGCCCCCTGTACCATATGTTTATGCATAATGGTTTCAGCTCCTTTTCTTTATCTGTACTTCCACCCTCCACTAATTTCAGGGTGCCTTGTTTTTCATAGGCTAACTCCCTAGTTCCTCTTTCATTCATTAGCATTTATGTCAATGAGTTACTATGGTAACATGCGGTCCTTGCAGAATTCCTCAAGATGTTATTACTGGTCATCATGTGATACTAACTGATACATTGCAACATATTTTCCAGTCTATTGCTGCATAGTTGCCAGAACATCAGCACCTTAACATATCTTTTACTGTAATCTTACACTTTACGGATACAGAGTTATCTCTCAGTCAACTAGTCATGCTGACCTGTTTCTGGCCTGAGGCCTTCTATGGCCAAGCTATATCTTACAGACCTAGAGCCTATAGGCCTTGCATGACAGCCTTATCTTTCTTAAATACCTAATACACACTCATCAGTGATACATATGTATTAGTCCCTTACCCCTCTGGTGTCAGCCTACTTATATTTTACCACTTAAACCTCCAACTCAAATCTAATCTAATACCCCACATCAATTACACAAGTATACAATTATATATATATATTTAGTTACAATTTCCTACCTCAACTTGTGTTTCTGACTCAGGTCTTCTCCTCCATCTTACTAGCTTGCATTACTTGCTGACCATATTTTCTGTTTCTGTAATTTATTTTGTCTTTCTTATATCATTCTTCTGCCACAATACCCATTGAGGGCAGCAGGCAACTGCCTGTATTGCCAATATCATGTTGAAGTGGTCATCACCAGATCTGCAAGGGAACCACTTTAGTAATTTTTTTCTGTAGGTTAGCCCCTAATTGCTTTTATGAGGCTTCAGAAATTCTGCCAATCTGGTCCCCTCTTCCAAAAAAGGGTATCCACACTTCTCAGTCAGGTGTGGCAGGAAACTTTAGGGGTGCACAGTATCCCAGGTGTGTCACTGCTCCATCTTTAAAGAACTGATATATCCAGAACAAAGGATTTTGGGCGTGATTTGTGAACTAATGGTGCATGCTGAAGAAACAGGTAGACCAGGGGTGGGCAAACTTTTTGGGCTGAGGGCAACATCTGGGTGGGGAGATTGTATGCAGGGCCGGGGCGGGGGTTGGAGTGCGTAAGGGAGTGTGGTGTGAGGGAGGGGGTGCGGTGTGCAGGAACAGGCTCAAGGCAAGGGATTGGGGCAGAGGAGGGGTGAGGAGTGCATGAGGGGGCTCAGGGAAGGGGGTTGGGTGCAGGAGGGGGCTCAGGGCAGGAGTCCAGGAGGGGTGCAGACTGCGGGAGGCAGCTCAGGGTAGGGGATTGGGGTGCAGGAGGGGTGCAGGGTGCGACAGGGGGCTCAGGGCAGGGAGTTGGGGTGTAGGAGGGGTGTGAGGTGCAGGCAGGAGGCTTAGGGCAGGGAGTTGGGGGGCGGGCTCTGGGGTGGCAGCGGTGTGCATCAGGGCCAGGGCAGGCTCCCTGCATGCCTGCCCTGGCCCCACACGGTGCTGCTCTGGGAAGCAGCCAGAACCACACCCCTGCATGGCCCCCCTGCTTGCCACAGCTCCAGGTACCTCCCCCGAAGCTCCCATTGGCCACGGTTCCTTGTTCCCGGCCAATGGGAGCTGCAGGGGGCAGTGCCTTGAGGCAAGGGCAACGCATGGAGCCCTCTGCCCCCCCTGCCCAGGGGCCCCCCCCAGGGACGTGCTGCAGGCCACTTCTGAGAGTGGCGTGGGGCCTGCAGCACCATGGGGGGCAATCCTGCGGGCCAGATCCAAAGCCCTGAGGGGCCGATTCGGCCCGCAGGCCATAGTTTGCACACCCCTAAGGTAGACACTTATGGAGGAAATGCTTGAAATGGAACATTCAAATCTTTTCTCCTCTGGCAGAGAGGAGGGAATTGAACCTTGGCTGTCCCATTCCAGGAGAGTGCTCTAACCACTGAGCTGAAAGTTATATGGTGACCACCATCCCCTCCCCCAGGCATTTGGTGTGGAGCAAAGCAGACACCTAACTCATTTCTTTGAGAAGTGACTTAGCCACCTAAGCTGCCGGATTCCAGGTGGTGGGTTCACATCTCTGAATCGCTAAGCAAAAATAGGTGCCTCCCTGCAGCCTGGATTTCGGTGCCTATCTCCGAGAGAGGAGTGGGCTGACAACGCTCTTGTCAGCATCTCCCATGGGCTGGTTTAGGCAGCATTCTATCTCGCCTTGTGGCTTTTGTGGATCACATTCCAAAGAGACTGTCTCTTCCCATTCAATGTACTGGGAGCCTAGGCACCTAACTCAGGCTTTGTGGATCTCAGCATTGTTCCTCTGTTGGTTTTTTTTGTTTTTTTTGTTTTTGTTATTTTTTTTAAGGCACCTAAAGGTTAGGCACTGTGATGCTCAGCATTGCAACACCTAAGTCCCTTTGTGCTTCCCGCCGCTAGCTCTCAGCCCTGTTCAGCCTGCTAGCTCGGGAAGGTCAGTGGACTAAGCCCTCTGCTGGTCTCCCAGCCAATTCCTCTCTTTTCCCACGGAGGGCCTGCAGAGCTTGTGGCTCTCTGCAGACTCTGTCTCTCTCAGGCAGCTCTCACATGCTCATTTCTTTGCTCTTCCAGTCCGTGCTCCCAGGCAGGCTTGACTCACTAGGTCTCTCTCTCTTCTCAGCTCCAGGTGCCCTCTTTTAAGCTAGCTGGGCATGAGAGGGGGTGTTACGAATTATACCTGATAGGACACGCACACAAATGCTACGAATTACACCTGGTAGGACACGCACACAAATGCTGCGAATTATATCTGATAGGTCACGCACAGTTCGAATCTAGGCTGAGGCACATAACCAAAGTCCACAACTGCAGAGTTCCCAAAAAACATTAAGTTTATTACGCTTGAGCGTGGTGCCCCCCTGCTAGCCAGGAGGGGACCCCGAATACAGATTATACAAAGGTTATATACTTTTTAGCAAAGCATGTTGCCCTTAGCAAAGCATGTTGCCCTCGTGCATCGGAAACCTTAGCCAATAAACAAACCCTTTTCTTATCTACCACCTATCCCTGCTTGGTGCATTCCTCGTGCTAAACCAGTATGTTAATTACATAGCATGGTCCTAAAGCCATGCATCAGTAACTTTTATTATCAGGATGGGAGGCCTCACATCAAAGGCCAGGAGATAGGGAGTTAGGGACTGACCAAAAAAACAGATACTGGGAGTCAAGGCAGGCTGGAGACAAGGAGGAGGATTTTCACAGGAATGCAGTATCTAAGGAACACGCCTTCTGGTGCATGATGTGCTTGTTTTTGGACAATGGTGGGCCCCAAACCAAAATGGAGTCACATGTGCTAACTTTTCCTTAACAGGGGACACTTTATCTTTACGATTACATCATATCTAGCATATTCACAACTCTGCAAAATTCCACTGACAAACAAATGTTGGAGTCATTTATGCTCTAAACCAGAGGTTTTCCAAACAGGGGCCTGTGAACTACTGTGGTGGTCTGCTGATCACTTGCTTATGGTCTATAGACAACTGGCTGGTTACATGGTGCTGATTTTCATGCCTCGTTTCCTACAAAGGGAAACAGAAAAGATTGGCAAAGGAGATTAAAAGAAGAGTAAAAGTAGGCAGTGTGATTAACATCTTTTCTTATCATGCTAACAAAAGCGAAATATTATACCTGGGGCAGGAAGCCTATTATCAAGGTTGCCTGTTTCCAGTTGCTTATAACTTTGCCAGACTTTAACCACTCATGTTGAAATGTTATATATATGCATCTGCCTCAGGCTTATTATTATTTGTTTTTGTAAAATTTCAGCCCGAACTGTTATTTTTCTGAGAACAAGGCTAGGGGAAAAATACATTGTTTCTCCCATATTAAAAAAATTCCTTGTGACCTTTTCCTCTAAAAGATTTAGCACTTTCATGCTCTGGAGCAGGGACCTGACATTTGGCAGAAGGTGACCTTTCTATCAGGGTGTGCCTTTTTTCTTCCCCAGGAAAATCTGCCCACATTTGGCCAATTCATAAGCCTTTGGGGAAAAAAACAATCACAGTTCACACATGCTCATAGAAACTTCTTTGATTTTAGCAGCTAAAATCTCTGAAGATGCTGTCCTCACTGAGCATGCTTGAGCCTTTCACAGCTCTCAGTGCTGACCAGATTGTGCATGCACCAGTCCCACAGAGCCACTGAGTATGCTCCAACCCATCACAGGTCCTACCTGCGATCAGACTGCTCCTGTGTCATCCCCACAGAGCAACTGAGCATTCTCCATCCACCCACAGGATTCCTTCAGTGCACTGGCTGGGCATGCTCTGTGAATGAATCTCTTTTGTATAGTGAAGGAGACTGTTGTCAGTAGGACTCCTGCTTCATCTGTGCAGAAGCTGGAAGGTGTGTCATGAATGAGGCAGGGGATGACAGGAAGAGAAAGGAAGGTCTCATGGTTAAGGCAGGTGAACGCTGCCCTGGAGAACTGGATTCTTTCCTTGCCTCTACCACAAAGTTCCTATGTGATCCTGGGCTAGTCACTTAAACCAAACTTTTCACAGGTGGTCACTAATTACATGTTCCTTATTCTCTGGGTGCCTGACTTGAGACCCTGGGCTCTGATTTGAAGAACTGCTGAGCACTAACAGCTGCAATTGAAGTCAATGGGAGCTGTGCTTTGAACATAGAAAGTGCTATGTACTCTAAAAAAATCAGGTCCTATGTGTCTCAAATTGGGCACTCAAAACTAGTGGAAACTTTTGTCCCTAACCTTTCTGTGCCTCATCCCCGTTTACAGATGGGGGACTAATAATACTCCCTCATCTCATCCCTGTTGTAAAGATTAACTAATTAATGTTTGTGAAATACACAAATATTATTGTGATAAGCACCTGTCAGAGGGAAGCCCCATCTGGAACGCTGTCCAGCAAGCTGCAACATGTTTGCTTCAATTTCCCTCCTTTAGGGTGACCAGTAACTCCATGCATGCTTTCTTGACTCCCTAAGATCCTCCTTGGGGCCAGTTTGTTACTAAAATATAGTTCAAATAATCAATAACAAAAGCCGCAAACATAGTCCATTTCTCACACCCAGTGTATATAGTCCTTACAATCCCACATCCTCCTGACCATTGACATAGCAAATACCACAGCTTCCGCCACACCTAGGCTCTTCTTCACTCCACTCCTGTCCTTTTACCAGGGCAGCCACTCCAGCCCTTCCTGCAGGAGTGCAACCGTGCTCTTCCCATCAGGAACACAGCTCCCCTGCAAGCCTCTGTGCTGGGAGTTCATCCTCACCAGAGAACCATGCCTCACTTCACCTGTTCCATTACAGTCTCATCTCAGAGACAGGCCAACAAGTAGGCCCTTCCAGTGATCACCTGGCTCCAGCTCTCCAACATGGAGATGTCAGCGGGTAAGTCCCTCCATTACTCCTGTGCCTTCAGCCCTCCCCAACCTTCTGGCCTGGGCACGTTAGCTGGCAAATCACTCTCCTGCCTTCAGCCTTCCCCCAGGAAAATATGTAACTTCCTACAGGGACCTCCTAGATTCTGGCAACTTTCACTTGCCAATCTCCTGACTCTTTCAAGATGTTGCCAGGCAGTTGCCTCTTTCCTGACTGATGCAGGCAGCTCTCACCTGCCCCTTTTCCTGACAGGGTGTCTACTGTCTCAGTCTCTCCACATTTATATGGCTTGGGCGCTTTCTTATAACCGTAACTGGGAAGTAGAGTTGCGGCTGCTGTATTCTTAGGCGGAGCATTCATTTGATTTTAAACAAGACACAGTCTTCTTTTGGGTTGTTTGTCCCCTGTCTGGTACTGAGACAAAACTAGATGTCAGATGTAGATGTCTGACAGAGGACACAATTTGGAAGATTTTTTTAGCGCACTGCACTTCCTCCCACCGGTGTGACCTTGCACTCACCGTGCATACAAAGTCACACCCCAGCAGGGGGTGGGGGAAGAGGCACATGCCATTCCTGGAAGTACCAAACTATTCAGCATTCTGGGAATGTGTCAGTGGCCACCCTAACTAGCTTCTTCTAGAGCCACCTTGTGACAGCACCACAGAAAAGCCCATGAAAAAATTAATAATTCTATCTTCAAACCAGGGTTTGAATAGTGTGCAGTCAGTAAAGCATGGGGTCCCACACTGAGCAATGAGGAGAAAACAAAATATTGAATAACTGCTTGTCAGGTGAGCACTGTCCATTCTGTACACTAAATGAGGCAGAGGTCCTCTGGAAAAAATAGTATGTGATCATTAAATTAAAACTATCATAATACATATGCACAAGGGGGGCAAATTAAGATTGAACAGACAACCTTTATTCTAGCATTTCCTAACTTTGGAGTACTTGACTTTAACATCTTAATAATGTTCATGTAATGTAGTGTCCTATGTGCAATATATATATATATATCAGGGGTGGCCAACCTGAGCCTGAGAAGGAGCCAGAATTTACCAATGTACATTGCCAAAGAGCCACAGTAATACGTCAGCAGCCCCGCATCACCCCCCCCCCGGCCCCACTCCTAGCACCTCCTGCCCACCAGCTGACTCACCGATCAGCGCCTCCCCCATCCTCCCAATCAGCTGTTTCATGGTGAGCAGGGGAAGGAGCGAGGGCATGGCAGGCTCAGGGGAGGGGGTGGGAAGGGGTGGAGTGGGGGCAGGGCCTGTGGCAGAGCCAGGGGCTGAGCAGTGAGCACCCCCACCCCCCCGGCACATTGGAAAGTTGGCACCGGTAGCTCCAGCCCCGGAGTCGGTGCCTATACAAGGAGCTCCATATTCACTTCTGAAGAGCCGCATGTGGCTCTGGAGCCACAGGTTGGCCACCCCGATATATATACACACACACGCACACACTCGGCAGGTAGCGACACCTATAGTTACGTTTGCCCAACACTTTCGATTACAAGATCCTGTTTTCAGTTGCTTATAACTTTGCCAAACTTAAACCAGTTGAGGTAAAATTTTCCACATCAGATGTCTGCCTCAGGCTGAATTAATTTAGGAAGTTTCCGCTAAAATGGTTCAGTTGTTTCTGAGAATGAGATGTTGAGGGGGGGGAGGAGGGGGAGGGGAATAGATTGTTTTCCCCATGTCAAAAAAATTCTTACAAACATTTCACTGAGAAGCTCAACTCTCTGAGTTCCACAGAGGCTGTTTCCTCCTTCTCCTTCAGGCTGCCTGGGCAACAACAGGGGCAAGGATTGCAGGAAAAGAAAGGGTGGTATTGTGGTTAATGTGACTGAATGCCACACTGGTGAACAGGACTCTATCACTGCCTCTGCCACAGCGTTCCCAAGGGATGCTGGGCAAGTTATGTAAACCAAATTTTCCATAGGTGGCCACCGTGTGCTCTTAATTCTCAGGGTTCCCAGTTTGAGAGACCTGGGGTCTGATTTGCAGAAGTGCTGAGCACTGACAGTTGCAGCTGTGGTCAATGGGACCTGTGCTTCGAACCAGCTGCGCTGACTTTCTAATCTGCCGGGGGTGCTCAACCCCCTGGCTCTGCCCCAGCCCCTGCCCCCCACTCCACTTCTTTCCCCAAGTCCCCGCCCCTGCCCCCCTCTTCCCACCCCTGCTTTGTCCCTGCCCTGCCCCTACTCCACCCCTTCCCACAAGCCCCTGCCCTGCCCCACCTCTTCATGCCCCCTTCCCACAAGCGCGCCCCATCCCTGCTCCTCCCTCTCCCCCTCACCCCCAGCCCCTCCTGCACACCGCAGTACAGCTGATGGCAGTGGGCAGGAGGCACTGGGAGGGCGGGTGAGGTGCTGATCGGCAGGCGGGAGGCATTGGCGGCGGGAGCTGGCTGCTGGTGGGTGCTCAGCATCCACTATTTTCCCGCATGGGTCCTCCAGCCTTGGAGCACCCAAGGAGTAGGTGCCTATGCTTTGAACGTATAAACTGCTCTAAAATACAGAGTACTCAGAAAAATCAAGTCCCAGGTTTCACAGATTGGGCACCAAAATCACCCAACACTTTAGCCAACACTTTAGACAATTTTGATCTTAATCTCTGTGCCTCAGTCCCCATCTGTAAAATGGGGATAATAATGCCACCTCACCTCAAAGGGATATTGTGAAGATAAATGCATTAACATTTGCAAAGCACTAAGATACTGCAGTGATAGCACCACAGAGAAGCCCATGAGAAAATTAATAATTCTGTACTCTGTGTAGGGTTTGGATGGTGTACAGTAAATTCGGTCTGGGGCCACACATTGAATGATGAGGATAAAAAGAAATATTGAACAAACAAACATGCAGTGAGCACCATCCATCCAGTGCACTGAAAGAGGCAGGAGTCCTGTGGAAAAAACAAACAGTAATTAAAGATTGTATCATAATGCATACGTACAAGGGCTGAATTATGGTTGCATGGGCCACAATACCGGTATTTCCTAATCGTTGAACACTTGATTTTGCAACCTTAATGTTCTCACAATGCTTTTTAGGATGGAACTTTTAGTAGTAGGGTCCACACGGCCAGTTAGTGCATGGCAAACTAATGCACTGTAGATTTGCACGCTGGCTTGCCATGCACTAAAATCACCCTGTAGAGAAGTCCTTTGATTCTATCTCTGGCTCTTCCTCACACTTCCTGTGTGACTTTGGGCAAGCCATTTTCTCTCTCTGTGACTTCATTTCATCCTGTGTAAAATGACGCTTCCCAGCCTCAGAAAGGAATAATGAGGCTAAATTACTCTAGGGTACAGCATGCCGAGAACTTCAGATGAAAGAGCTACAGAAATAAAAAGTATTATTAGAAAGAGGAAAATACCCTTTCACTTGACTGAAAAAAATTTCAGCTAGGGAATCCCGTTTTTTCTTCTATATCTCAGTACAGGAATACAGTCAAGTGAAGTTACTTATTTATTTAAACATGAATTTTTTTCTTACCCACCAAATGGGAATGAAAATGCTGTGAGAGCAAGGACCATTCTAAGCTTCCATAGACCCAATTAAAACCTGTTTTAACTGTATTAGCTCTCCAACTATTACAACTCACACTGCAGGACATAAACGATTCATGTCAGAAGAGATTTAAACTCACAAGAGTAGAACTTTACTTAATTATGAGTGAACTGTACTGAATCTTCCTTTGAGCAATCTCTCTCTCTCTCTCTCTCTCTCTCTGTGTGTGTGTGTGTGTGTGTGTGTGTGTGTGTGTGTTACAATGCACTTGATGTGACCCAACTCTCGTGAAAATCCCAGGCACCAAAAAATATTACAGGTTTGCTACTATTACCCCTCTTATCCAAGTACCACTCCTGGGTGTGAACAACTAGTGCTCTGCTTCATAGAGCAGTATCTGTTTAAGGAAAATGGAAATAAGCTCTGCTAGAAGTTATTAGCTAACAATAAAGTTCTCAGCAACAGAACAAGAGTGTAATGAATAATTAATTTACCATTTTCACTTATAGAAAAGTTTCACTATTTCTATTTAGGGTATTTCTACACTAAAAAGAAAAACCCACAGCCGTGAAACTCAGAGCCTGGGTCAACTGACAGGCTCATGGGGCTCAGGCTGTGGGGCTACAAATAGTTGTGTAGACATTCCTGCTCACACTGGAGTCTGGGCTTGGAAACCCAGTGGCGGGGTTGGGGGAGGGTCTCAGAGCCCAGGCTCCAGCCCAAGCCCAAAATGTACACTGCTATTTTTAGCCTTGCAGCCCAAGCCCTGAAAGACTAAGTCAGTTGACCCAGCTCTGAGACTCAGTGTGGCAGGTTTTTCTTTGCCAGGTAGATATCCTCTTCATGTATTTTTGGATATTGCCATTCATTGTTGCAAACCTGTATGGTAGGTATATTGTGGCTGTTTCAAATTTCTATGCCTCAATAAAATAATAAAAATGTAGAAACTATGCATATTGAGAGATCCTTCTTTCCATTTCCAGTCTTAAAAAAATGCTCTCGATCACTAGGGTCAACAGTTTAATATCATGTGTTCTCACAGTATGTCCAGCCGGATTAGAAAATGGAAATCTTACAACCTGTTGTCTTGAGATTTCCTGCCCAATATGCAGACTGCAAAGATCTGACTATATAGAGGAAACCTTGAATAGCATCTAAATGTCTGAATGGATCTCTGGATCTTTTAAAGGTTACCCCATCGGAGGTGATTGTACTCCTCAATAATTTAGTTCTACAGTGAAAAATACATACAAACATTATAATTCCTTCCCACCCACTAAAAATACCTAAAATGTATAATCAGTTGATCACTGTGCAGTATTTAACTAAGCACTTATTTTTTTTATTCTGTGTACTGCAACTTTAAATTCCTAAACTGCAGGCAAACAGAGATTGAGTCATTTTGTTCCTGAAGTTCCATCCAGATTGTCAGAAGAGACGCACGTATACGCATATGTATATATATATATATTCACTCACACAGTGTGCTCTCTGATGCAGACTTCACTTTTGTTCTCTCTTGTTTTGTTGTCTTAATCTAAAATAAAAGTAATTCAGGCTGGAAGTATCTGTTTGCATTTGCCTAAAGAAAAAACATACCCGTCATCAATATAAATGTTCCATTCCCACATAGTGATCAGTGGCAAGTCTTAAACACAGAAAGGGTTACGCTTTCCAAAAGCTAATGAACATTTCAATAGGTCTTTCTCAAAAGGTTACTGCAGTAACATTTCCTGAATACCCTTTAACAATTTAATGGTAGCCTGGCAGTGGCATCAGGGCAAATAAATTTCAGTGACATACAGATTGCAGTAGAAGAATACAATGAATCAATGTGCTTCTTATGAAGATGTGATTTGAAAAAGACTGGCCTATGCTCCTGAGTCATATTCATAAGACAAAGTCTTTCTTGATGATAAAAACAAATCAGTCAGTGTTCTTAAAGA